GTGGGTGGGCGGGGGTTGCGAGGCGCGTTGTGCCCGGGGACCCGGGGTTGGCCGGCAGCGCCTGGGGCGGGCACACGGCAGGAGTGGGACAGCGGCCGCCAGCCAAGCCCTTCCCCGCAGGCTGCTCCTTCGGCGGGAAGGTCTATGCCTTGGACGAGACGTGGCACCCGGACCTGGGGGAGCCCTTCGGGGTGATGCGCTGCGTGCTGTGCGCCTGCGAGGCGGTGAGTGGACCCAACGGCAGCGGCTGGGGCCCTCGCGGGTCTGGGAGCGCTGGGGTTTTAGGACGTCGGAGTGGACTCGGAGCTGCTGAAGAGAAAGAAGCCAGTCTGCAGATATTTGGCATATTTTTCTGATGGAAGAAGAGGGGAGCAAGCGCCCCCTTCAAGTCTCAGGTGTTGCCTGTTATTGATCACCCACTATGTGTCAGCCTCTTTACCAACTCCATTTCGTCTGTCTCTCACTTAACTCCTAGTACAACCATGCTAGATAGATACTATCATTACTCTCACAGGGACTCTAAGGCCCAGAGAAGTTAAGTAACTTGTCTAGAGTCACGCAGCTTGTGAGTAGCTGAGCAGCCTGACTCCGTGGGACAACCTTGTCCTGGTCCCCTGCCTCTTCCTGACTCGCCTTCGAGTCTCACCAATTGGCGTCTTGCGCTCACTCTGTTTTCCCATCTTCTCCGCGAGCAGCCTCAGTGGGGTCGCCGCGCGAGGGGCGCGGGCAGGGTCAGCTGTAAGAACATCAAACCCGAGTGCCCAACTCTCGCCTGCGGGCAGCCGCGCCAGCTGCCCGGACACTGCTGCCAGACCTGCCCCCAGGGTAAGGCCCGCTCCGCGGTGAGGGCAGGGCGGCAGGGCTGCAGGGCCGCGATGCTTGATCCTGGGCCGCGCAGAACGTGCAGGCAGCCGACTGGCCCTCCGGTGCCCAGCTGAAGCCCGTCCCCCACCACCGGCAGAGCGCAGCGGTCCGGAAAAGCAGCCGACGGGCCTGGCCTTCGAGTATCCGCGGGACCCAGAGCACCGAAGCTACAGCGACCGAGGGGAGCCGGGCGCTGAGGATCGGGCGCGTGGAGACGGCCACACCGGTAGGCAGGGGGCCGGGCGGGGACTGGGGTCCTGGCTTGGGCTGGGCTGCAGCCGCTGGCGATGGTACTAGGGATATCTTCCTTCTCTCGCAGACTTCGTGGCGCTGCTGACAGGGCCAAAGTCGCAAGCGGTGGCACGGGCTCGAGTGTCGCTTTTGCGTTCCAGTCTACGGTTCTCCATCTCCTACCGGTGGTGAGAAAGGGAAAGGAGGGAGGAGGGGGTCAGCTGAGGGCCAGGGAGAGAGAATTGGGAGAGGCTGGAGGTGCTGCTTCTGGCCGGGGCTCAGAGGCAGCCTTCACCTGACCCTCATTACCAGGCTGGACCGCCCTACTCGAATTCGCTTCTCAGACTCCACTGGCAGCGTCCTGTTTGAACACCCTGCAGCCCCTACCCAAGATGGCCTGGTGAGATGATGCCGTTTATGAGTGCTTATCCAGCCTGGGCACTGTGCTGAGAGCATGTTCTGCATTGCCTCTATGGATTCACATAACGGCCCAGTAGGAGAAAGGCACTGACATTTCCATGACCATTTTACAGATGAGGGAACTGAGGCTCAGTAAGAGAATGTGACTTGCTCAAGGTCACACAGCTAGTAAGTGGTGAAGCCAGGATTTGGGCCCAGCATCTGCCTCCAGGGCTGCTTCTTAAACTTCCTAGGGCCTAGGGGCGCCTTCCCATATTCCTTCCTCACCAGAGGTGGGCTTCTGGGCAGGCCTGTCCTATATATTGTCTGAGTAGAGCCTTCTTGCTTTCTGCTCCAGGTCTGTGGGGTGTGGCGGGCAGTGCCTCGGTTATCTCTGCGACTTCTTAGGGCAGAACAGCTGCATGTGGCACTCGTGACACCCACTCATCCTTTAGGGGAGGTCTGGGGACCTCTCATCCGGCACCGGGCCCTGGCTGCAGGTGAGGGGAGCAAACAGCCCCTGGAGGTGAAGTCTAGAATCTTCTCTACCTCCAGGAATGGAGTGGGCTGAGGCGGGGACTTTCTGATGGGCAGTTATGGTCCCTCTTCTCCCAGAGACCTTCAGTGCCATCCTGACCCTGGAAGGCCCCCCACAGCAGGGCATAGGGGGCATTGCCCTACTCACTCTCAGTGACACAGAGGACTCTTTGCATTTTTTGCTGCTCTTCCGTGGGCTGCTGGAATCCAGGAGTGGGGGTAAGTGGGATGTGGGCAGCACATGTGAAGAGGGTAGGGAGAGTACCTGTCTTTCAGAGGTGTCCACTTGGGTGGCCGTTGCAGGACCAGCCCAGGTTCCCTTGCGGCTTCAGATTCTACACCAGGGGAAGCTATTGCGAGAGCTCCAGGCCAATGCCTCAGTCCAGGTGAGTGAGGGTCTGGCTCTTGTTGCCACTTGCTCTGGCCTTTTGTTGTGCCTACCATACCCTGCTCTGCCCCCAGGAACCGGGCTTCGCTGAAGTGCTGCCCAACCTGACAACCCAGGAGATGGACTGGCTGGCACTGGGGGAGTTGCAGATGGCTCTGGAGAGGGCAGGCGGGCCAGGGCTGCGCATCAGTGGACACATTGCTGCCAGGCAGAGCTGTGATGGTGAGACAGGGTGGCACTCCTGGGACACAAAACTGAGTGACACAGACAAATGCCAGAGGAGGGGCCAGGGTGGGTATAGGAGGGGTCCTGTGGACCAGGGTATGAATGGCCATGGGGCAGGACTGCCTCCACCTGTCTTGCCCCTCTGCAGTCCTGCAAAGTGTCCTTTGTGGGGCCGATGCCCTAACCCCAGTTCAGACGGGTGCAGCCGGCTCCGCCAGCCTTACACTACTAGGAAATGGCTCCCTGATCTACCAGGTAAGAAGGGGCTGCAGGAGGTGGGAGGGCAGGGCAGGGCTTCGGCTTACAAAGTTTCAGGGCCCAGGCCTTCTCTGCCACTCCAATTTGCCCTCCCTGACCCTGTCTACCAGGTACAGGTGGTAGGTACAGGCAGTGAGGTGGTGGCCATGACGCTGGAGACCAAGCCTCAGCAGAGGAACCAGCACACTGTCCTGTGCCACATGGCTGGACTCCAGCTGGGAAGACACATGGTGAGTGCTTCAGGCCAAGCTGGCCCGCAGGGCCCGAGCACCAGAGCTGACAGTGCGGGGGCCATGGGAAGCCCTGTTGGATGAGCAGGGATGTTCAGCATCATTTATTCACTCACAGGCTCTCTCATTGATGCATTGATTCACTGGACATATTTTTAGTGAACTTCAGGCTAAGGACTGGAGTACAGAGCAAATCAGATGAGGCCCCTGTCCTCAGCAAGTTCTTGTCAAGTGGGAGGAGTTAGACAGGGAGATCAGTGCAGCAGATCATATAATAATAAATGTGATAGCAAGGGCTGCCCTTTATTGAGCCTTTCTATATGCCACATACTGCACTGGTTGCCTTGCTTATGTTACTTTTGGTCTTCACAGTACTCGTTTAATAGATGATGAAGTGAAGAATCAGTGAGGTTAAGTAACTCCTTAAAATTGTTGCAAAGATAGGAAGTGGCACCGAAGGGGCTTGACCCTGGGCCTGCTGGGTTCCTATCCAATGTCACTGATGTGTGGAAGTGTGTAAGGGTAGAGTGGGCACGAAACATGAAAGGCTTCAGAATCTTGGACTGGTATGAAAGCTGAGGAAGGGGCTCATGCAGGACCAGGCAGGCTGCAGCTGGGACTCACCCTTCCCTGCCCCCCAGGCCGTGGGTGTCTGCCCTGGGCTAGGTGCCCGGGGGGCTCATATGCTGCTACAGAATGAGCTGTTCCTGAACGTGGGTACCAAGGACTTCCCAGATGGAGAGCTGCGGGGGCACGTGGCTGCCCTGCCCTACAGTGGGCACAGCGCCCGCCATGATAGTGAGTGCTCCAGGGGTCTGCCTGCCCTTTGGTGTCCTCTAATCTGTGACTCAAGCACGTGAGGGATGATGCCAGAGGGCCAGAGTCTAGTGTGTCTTTCTCTGTGCCTGAGCTCCAGATTGGCATCTGGAGAAGGTGGGGATGTATATAGGGTGGCCTACTGGGAGGCCCTCCCTGTTACTGTGGCACGGGGCTCAAACTTGCTGCTCCCCTAGCCCTGGGCCTGTGGACCGTGCCTGCCAGCTTGTGGAGTTCCTGTCGGGGGGGATGGGGAATACAGGGACTGAATGGCTGCTCTAGGCCACCTTCTCACCTATCACCTCTCCTCTGTCTGGATGCAGCACTACCTGTGCCCTTGGCAGGAGCCCTGGTGTTGCCCCCAGTGCAGAGCCAGGCAGCAGGGCATGCCTGGCTCTCCCTGGACACCCACTGTCACCTGCACTATGAAGTGCTGCTGGCTGGGCTTGGTGGCTCAGAACAGGGCACCATCACTGCCCACCTCCTCGGGCCTCCTGGGATGCCAGGGCCCCGGCGGCTGCTGAAGGGATTCTATGGCCCGGAGGTGAGGATGTAATGATGGGGGACAGTTTGGAAAATATCTGCTTTTTAGCATGAAAGGCTCTGTGGGCCTGTGGTAGGGAAAGCAGAGAGCAGGTGGCCTCAGGTGTCAGACCTGGTTTTGACTCTGACTCAGCCTTTTATTACCCACCCTCCCGCCTGTGTCCTGGTTTGGTGGGATCCCAAGGATAGTAGGTAATATCCTGGACCTCCAGAGGGGTAGGTTGGATGGACCAAGCCCCCGACATGGGGTTGGTTGACACGGGCCAAAAGACCTGGCTTCTGCACTCTACACCATTGCTGATGGGCTTGGCTATCCTGGAGACCTTTCTTAACCTCCCTGGGTCTCAGTTTCCTTATCTATGAATTGGGAATTGTAGGCTCAGACCTAGAGTGCCTTGTTCCTGTCCCTTATCCTGTCTACTCACAGGCCCAGGGCGTGGTGAAGGATCTGGAGCCTGAGCTGCTGCGGCACCTGGCACAGGGCACAGCCTCCCTGCTGATCACCACCAAGGGTAGCCCCCAAGGGGAGCTGCAAGGGCAGGTAAGCAGGCAGTGAGGGCTGGTGGGGATGGTTCAGAGTTGGGCTATTCGTCACTTGCTTTCTCTGAGCCCTGGGGGTGGTAGAATCACATTCCCTGGCTGGTTGGGAGGATGAAGCCAAACTACATACTTAATGAGGCTGGCAGCAGACCACCTGTCCCTGGCAGCTGGGATGATTGCTGTGGCTAATAGCATCCTCCTGGGGCACAGTGGCGCTCAAGGTGTCTTGGGCTGGCTGGTTGCCACTGGTGGAGACACGAGGGGGAGCCCGGGTGCTGCCTCAACCCGCCTCTCCTCTCAGGTGCACATTGCCAACCAGTGCGAGGTGGGCGGCCTACGCCTGGCAGCAGCAGGAGCTGAAGAGGCACGGGTGCCTGGGGCTCCAGATGCAGTGGTGGCTGCACTGCCCGCTGTGCTGGGCCCAGACGCCCCAGCGCCAGCCAAACCTGGTGGCCTTGGGCGGCTCCGAGACCCTAACACCTGCTTCTTCGAGGGGCAGCAGCGCCCCCATGGGGCTCGCTGGGCTCCTAACTATGACCCGCTCTGCTCGCTCTGCACTTGCCAGGTAGGAGGCCCTGGAAGAGCACATTGGGGCCTGGGTTCTGGGGCAGGATCCCAGTCAACGCCCAGCCTCTCCCTGCAGAGACGCACGGTGATTTGTGACCCCGTGGTGTGTCCACCACCCAGCTGCCCTAGCCCGGTGCAGGCACCGGACCAGTGCTGCCCTGTGTGCCTGGGTGAGTGCCTTGCAGGAGTGGAGAGGGTAATGGAGGGTCCATCATAGGGGATGAGACTTCTGGGGAGGGAAAGAGGGGGTCACCCTCTGCCTTCAGTATTTCTTTGGATCCACAGAGAAACAAGATGTCAGAGACCTCCCAGGGTTGCCAAGGAACAGGGACCCTGGAGAGGGTGAGCTGGAAGTGCATGTGCAGGGGTGGGGAATTCAGAGGAGCTGTGAGGTGGGACTAGGGTGGGGGAAGATGGGAGGGGGAGAGTATATATGGGGGCGGGGAGGCTGAGGGGCATCGGTTACAAGTGACACCTGATAGGCTTCATTAGTGTCACTGGCCCACAAGTGGGCCCTGGGGTTAACAAGTGTGGGGTTGGCCTGAGGCTCAAGCCTTGACTGGGGGCCCATTCAATGAGCTCAGTGCTAATGGCAGCTGGGCACTGTCCCCCACCAGGCTGTTATTTTGATGGTGACCGGAGCTGGCGGGCAGCGGGCACCCGTTGGCACCCCATCGTGCCCCCATTTGGCTTAATTAAGTGCGCTGTCTGCACCTGCAAGGTATGGCCATCCAATCTTCTCTGGTACCAGAACCCAGCTGGGTCTGCAGAGCTGGGGCGGGTGGTCTGCCAGGAGAGGAAAACCCAGCCTTGGTGGAGAGGGTGCAAGAATCAAAATAATATGAGAAAATTCTTTTGGGCTTTGAGAATTGTCTTCCTGTAGGAAAAGGGCAAGGGTTGAGTTGGTGTGAATTCTGGCTCTGCCAGCTGACTAGCTCTGCGTAACCCTGGGCACTTTCTCTACCTCCCTGAGTCTCACTTTCCTCTCCTATAAGCAGATGTGGTAGCACCTGCCTTGCAGGGCTATAATGAGGATTTGAGTTCGGTATGCAAAGCCCCAGTCCAGGGCCTCTGAGTAAAAGGCCAGGGACATGTTACACTGGAGGTATGGGAAAGGAGAGGGAGGAAGCAGGAGGCTTATGTGTGCCTCCTATTTCCTGACACCCCTCACTCAATGGATCCCTACAGGGGGGCACTGGAGAGGTGCACTGTGAGAAGGTGCAGTGTCCCCGGCTGGCCTGTGCCCAGCCTGTCCGTGCCAACCCCACTGACTGCTGCAAACAGTGTCCAGGTGAGGGGGGTGGGCACTGAGGCCTCTTGGGGTGAATAAGGCTCTTCACAGCCTTGTCCCAGGTGGGAGGAATGCATGCTGAGGCGATGCTTAGTGAGGGTGGATGGGAGGGACTTCTCAGCTAATTCCACATTTACTAAGCACTGTTCCGTGACTAGCCTGGAGCCAGGGATCTAAACGAAGCAGGAAGAATGTGCATGTGTTATTGGGCTGTGACAGATCCAGTTCCTGCCCCATCCATCCATCCAAATGTATCACCTACTAAGTGCCAGAAACTGCTAGGTGATGGCAATTCAAAAACAAAACTAGGATGGCCCTCACAGAGCTCACATCCGCTGACCTCTTCCTCCTTCCCTCATTCTCTCCCTTCCAACAGTAGGGTCAGGAGCCCAACCCCAACTGGGGGACCCCATGCAGGCTGATGGGCCCCGGGGCTGCCGTTTTGCAGGGCAGTGGTTCCCAGAGAGCCAGAGCTGGCACCCCTCGGTACCCCCCTTTGGGGAGATGAGCTGTATCACCTGCAGATGTGGGGTAAGTGCAGAATGGAGGCCTTCCCAGGGAGGGCAGGCTCCTGAGGGAGGGATCCCCTCAAGAGGCTGAAGGCCGCTGTGCCCCAAAGCCTCTGGGGACCCTCAGGATCTGGTCTGTCCTGCACCAGGCAGGGGTGCCCCACTGTGAGCGAGATGACTGTTCACCACCACTGTCCTGTGGCCCGGGGAAAGAGAGCCGCTGCTGCTCCCACTGCGCACCACGGCGGTGTAAGTGAGGGGTCCGGGGAAGGAGGGAGGGGAGCATCTGTCAGTGCCAGGAACACCCCATCCTTCCTCACAGCCACCTTGTGGGCTTATTCTTGGTTACCTTTTCTTTTCAAATGAGATTTCTGACGCTCAGAGGAATCAGGCCACTAGACTAGAGTCACACAGCTGGTACGTGCTGGCTTGCTTAAAAAAATTCCAGCCTTTCTGAGACCAGAACAAAGATGCCCTGCCATGCCCTTCGTGCCACCCTGTTGCCTCTGTCCTCCTGCAAAATTCATTCCCTTCTGTCTCCAGCAGCCCCAGAGACCAGGACAGTTCCAGAGCTGGAGAAAGAAGCTGAAGGCTCCTAGGGAGCAGCCAGAAGGCCTCATGACCAAGAGGACGGGGCCTGGGCCGGGGGAAGGAGTGGCGCCGAGGACCCCGCATTCTCCTGCGGGAAACACAGTGCCTTTGGCTCCTCTTTTCTGCCTCTTCTCCCTCCCCCACTACCTCTGGGAACCACAGCTCCACAAGGGGGAGGGGCAGCCAGGCCAGACCAAGGCTATGCCCATTCCAACTCCTGCCTTGTCACCATCCGGCCTCCGCCTTGGAAGCCCCACCCCTTTCCTTCTGTACATAATGTCACTGGCTTGTTGGGATTTTTAATTTATCCTCACTCAGCACCAAGGGTCCCCCCACTTCACTCCTGCTGCCCCTGAGCTGAGCAGAGTCATTATTGGAGATTTTTGTATTTATTAAAACTTTTTTTTTCCAGTCTTTGAGCTAATGGTTGTTTCATTGTGACCAGGGGCCTAAGTGGGCCCCAGTGAAGAAGGGTCTGAGGCTAGGTAGGGGGACAGAGGAGCCCCAGGCTCTTTCCTCTGACCCTCGGGGGGAGCAGGGAGAGAACCGGGGAGGGAGCAGGATGGTGCAGCAGCTGGCCGGCATGGCTGGATTCAGCAGAGGGGCTTGGGCTGTCTTCAAGATGGAATAGAGCTCCAAGAACTCAGGCAACCTAAGGCAGGATTTGGACGTAAGTTTAGTTTCCACTGGACTGCTCGTGGCTGGCATTTTTGCCGAGTATTACAGTGTCTCAAAACAGTTGCTGGTAGGATTTAAAATTTGGTCTGTTACCCTGGGGTCAGTCAGGCCTACTTTGCAGAGGGTTTGCCTAGGCCTCTGAGCTTCAGCAGAAAGAGATGGAAGGTAATACACAGGGGCTCTGGCCGGAGGAGAAATGGGGTATTTCTGATACACTTGGTTTTTGAAGAGAAAACTCCTTCCTGCACAATCCTCCACTTTGCCCCTTTTTACTCGTGAACCACCTTTCAGCATTCTCCAGTGACTGCCCTTTGCCATCTTTTACATGCCACGTCGGACTTGGATTTGGGGTCAGATGAGGAACAGCCACTCGGAGCCATCGCACGGTGGCGCTGCTGGCAGCCACCAGTTCACTTTGGGCCAAGTCCGTGTCAGTGCAGGTATTTGAGTAATTTGTGGCTACAGACTACAGACTACAGACGTATGAAGGTGCCTCCTCCTGAAGAGGGAGAAATGGGAGCTGGAGAGAGGCAGCCCAGGCACTTAGTGGGAGTCCAAGGTCCCCCACTCTTACACACATGTCAGCTGCTCGGCTTCCAGGAAAGCCCGCTTTCCAAAGAAGAGCTGGTTGCTTTCAAAAAAGGTTTCTGAACAACTGTCTCATTGCCTTTCATCCGTAGTCTTATATGAAAATAACAGAAAATTAAAAAACAAAAAATAGTGACATTTCTGATACAGCAAAAGTGACAGAAAGGGGAGGTCTCATAAAGTAACAATTGGGACAAGGTGGAGGTTGGCCAGGCATGCTGAAAGGGGCACATTCTAACTTATCAAACTTTTGTGATCAGAGATATGGGAAGAAAAATAAAAGAGAGAAAAGTCTGGAGTACCGGAAATACATCACTGTAGGTGACAAAGGGGAAAAATTCTTAGGGGTCATATAATGATGATAGTGCTCTGTGAATGGAGCCCCCTCTCTCTAACATTGTTTGGCTTTGGTATCTGTTCTCATGAACAAGGGGAGCTGCCAGAATTACTTTTGCTCATTATAAAAGTAAATCACTGTGAACAATTATGGCAATACACAAATATGTGAGAAAGAAAGAAAAGTTCACCTGTCAGAAAGAAAGAATTCCAACCCCTAGGTAACTGCTATGAAGAAATCATTGAGTTGAACCTGGTTTCAGCACCAAAAGAAAGAAAGAAAGAGAGAGAGAGAGAAAGAAAGAGAGAGAAAGAAAAGAAAAGAAAAAAAAGAAAAGAAGAAAAAGAAAAGAAAAAAGAAATCACTGAGCATTTTCCTGAGTTTTAGTTTACCTGGGCCCCTGGCCCCAGCCCCGCCCCCACACTGGGTCCTGCCCTTGCAGCACCTCTGTACCCTCTCTTGAAGTGGCTGTGATGTCTGTCCTTGACTCAGTGAAGGGTGTTTGTACGATCAGCTCTGGAGCTGGAGCACATGTAAATCTGTATAAATAGGGAAAGCAGGAAATTGCATTTAAGGGACATATGACCTTTTGCATTTAAAGTGGCGGGGGGGAGGCAAAAACCTAGAAATTAAAAAAAAAAAGAATCCTCAGCAACTCAGAGAACTTGGCAAGTTGGCATTCAGTGATCTGATTTTCAGTGAGTTGACTGGAGCCCACCAGTGGGAAACCAGCTCCTCAGCTGATGGATGTCGGGCAGGCCTGAGGGTTGTCCTGTCTTGGGCAGCAGAGGTGGGCCATTGAGGTTCTCGCCTGGTGGGCCAGGGCCCCAGCTTTCCTTTGGGAGGAGTCATTCACAACCTCTTATAGTCCACCTGCCTTGGCTGGGCTGGATCCTTGGCTGAGACACAGCCTCCTCGTGAGATGCCAGGACTTTTTCTCCTCTTCCGGCGTCCCCCATGTCTGGGTGAGCTGCTGGTCCTACTGTGGAGACAGAGACTCCTCATTCTCCGTTTGTGCTTTGGGACAAGAAGGGGGACACGTGGAGGGAGTAGGTGCCAGGGAGGAGGGCTGTGATGAGGATCCCACTGAATCCTTCTCCACACATGGGGCAGTGAGGCTGCTGTCCGGGTACTGGGAAGATAGCTCTGCCACAGACAGGTTTTTCCAGCCCAGTAGCTGTGGACCTTACGAGCTGGAGCAGGTGGCTGTGCTGTGAATTTCTACCCCTCATGGCCTGTTGTTGCCACCACTTGTCCTGGTGGCCCTGGTGGCCCTGGTGGCCCTGGTGTTTACCATGGAGTTCTGGGGTCCTGACCAGCCCCTACTCTGAGGGGAGATGAGGAAAGATGAAAGGGAAGCAGAGTCAAGCTTGTGTCTTGTTTAGGTGCTTTTGGGGAGCACTGGTGTGTGTACGTGCACACACACACATCTGAAGTGTGTCATGTGGGAGAGAGAGGAGCATCCACACTGCATCTGTTATTTACATCCATGCTTGTTTGACTGTGACATTTTCAGTTTCTTTTATTTCTTTGTGGTTCTGCCTTACATGAATCTAAAAAATGCAAAGAACTTGTTCTTCAAAACCCATTCTTCTGTGGTCCTTTCTGCCTTCTGGGTGGGTATCGGTAGAGACATATTCTTTATACTAGTCTGGAGGTAGAGCTGGGGTGGCAGGTAGTAAGCGGCAAGACAAGAGGCTACTGAGAAAGGAGGCCAGGAAGAAACATTCCATGGAGAAGCATCAGAAGACTTTTTATTACTATTCATTTCACAAGTAATCAATTTACTCACACTTAAATAGCTACTAGCTGCATGCAAAAGGCACAAGATGATTCCTAGGAAATAGTTTCTTCCTTCCATCCCTATCCCTGTCCCCATCCAGGTCCCCTCCCTAGAGACCCACTGTTAACTATTTCCTGCATATAAGAATGTCTCTTAAGAAGAGGGATGACCAAGATCCAGGTGTCAGTTGTTTGAATTTTTGTCATACATAGCCTAGTGCTTTTCAAACTTTAATGTGCATATGAATCATCTGGGAGTCTTGTTTAAATGTAGATTCTGATTCAGAAGGTCTGGAGTGGGCCTGAAAGTCTGCATTGCTGACAAGCTCCCAGGTAATGTGATGCTATTAGTCCAGAAACACACTGTGAGTAGCAGGGATGAAACAATCCATCACTTCTCATTTTCAGCAAATCTGCCATGCCACTGTAAGTTTATTCACTCAACTAATATTTATTGAGCATCTTTTTTTGTGCCAGGCACTGTTCTTGGCGCTGGGGACTCAGCAGTGAATTAAACTGGCTAACAGTCCTGGCTGTGTGGAGTTTATAATCTAGTGGAGGGAGATAGTCAATACACACAGTAAGCACATAGCATGCCAGAAAAAGATCTATGGAAAAAATAGGGCAGGAACAATGGACTTAGGTGTTCTGGAGTGGCAGTTCTGAGTGCAGTTTTAATAAAGATGACCACAGAGTGCTCTGGTGATTGAATAAAGACTTGAAGGAGGGGACAGAATGAACCATTGGGATATGTAATGAATTTTTTAAAAAAATTATGAATGGGTCTAAGGGAAGAAGGGAAGAGACCGGCCATAACTATGAGATATATGTGAAATCAGTTTGTCAGTAGATATCTAAACTCAGAGCGAGAGTGGATTCTGAGAAAAAGAGCCCTTTGGAGTATCAGGGAGAGAAGTGGACCTCCGCAGGAACAGAGGATGAGGTCTTGCTTCAACTGTACAAAATCTCTTCTAACACTGGAATTATATAATATATAAAGATGAAATATAATTAGAGTAAGAGTTAAAGAAATATCTAGTACCCAGTGCAATTAGGTCACATACCTTAAGGTGTCAGTTCTGCCTGCATGGGTTTGCTGCCAAGATATAATGCATCCAGGCATTTTCGAGTCTGGCAAAGGAGGACGAAGAGTTGGGGTTCTATTCATAATGGGAAAGGAACCTTATGGCAAAGTCTCTACCAAGGAAGAGGTTGCAATTTAAGCACAAGTTTTATGGTGGGAATTGTGAGAGTCTCAAACGCCACATGAAACGTGAAGAGGTTTTCAGGTTAGCAGACCAGGCAGGCTGTAGTTTGAAATCTCACCGAATACCATCTGAAGAGGCACCATGCCAGAAAACTCTAAGGAAAGGGGTCAAGGTGAAAGGTGGAGGGCAGAGGGAAGATGGTGGGGGGAGGTACCTGGTGGACCCATCCTGGAAGGGCGGACCTCAGATGCTGGAGGACATTCTTTCCCAGCAGCTCCAGCAGCTGCAATCAGACCAGCTCCAGCTTGTCTCCCAGAAGAGTGGCCCCACACCTCTCCTTCTGACCACCCTATCAGGTCCCAGGAGGTCTAAATCACATTTACTTCTAGGACTCATCCCCCTCCCCCATTACTGCACCTGCTGGCTGATGCCTGAAGTTCCTTTAGTAGACATTTTTTCCTTCCACTACTGAAAGTGGGAATTTTAAAATGCAAATGACTGGTTACGATATTAGGTCACCTGCTACAGTCGGACTACCAGTCAACAAATGTAAATGATTATTATCAGATGCTGTTCCTTTTTGACAAGGGGAAGGTTAGAAAAAAGTAGACTGAAGGGGGAGGAGGTAGGGAAGTGGGGACTTCACAGCTGACCCTCCAGGCGGGGACGCTGACTAGGGCCAGGCCATTCACCTTCACCAGGGTGCGGTGGAGAAATAGTTGCTATGTGGGGAGGAATTTCTGTCCTGCACATCTGTGTGCTCTCCCAGCTTAGCGGGAACTCGGCCACTCAGACATATGATTCACATCAACTGTGTTTTTCATAA